AAACTACTTTAATCCTTGTGGATAAGTTAATGAGGCGGACGTAATTAGAGTTTGAAATTTTGCGACTTGAAAATTTTTACCGATGGTGCATGACAACGTTCTGTGCACAATCTCTGTCAAGGTGTCACCTTTAAGTGTTACCGAGGTATACTCAGCATTTTTCTCTGCTTTCACCCATTGGGGAAACTTACCGTGTTTTGCATCATATAATGCGCTAGGCGCTTTAGGTAGCCATTTTTGGATGAATATATTCCGTACATTTCGGAGTTCATCAGCCAGCTTGTCGTCCATACAGGTATGTTCAGCTCAAACTTCCAAACAGAATATGAGGTAACCCTTTTCTCTAAGTAATACGAAGTTTCCGAAGTTAATCAACTGTCCATTCCACTCCGTAAAAGTAAAAGTCTCCCCGTGCACTGATCACTTGACCGACCTATCATCATGGCGAGGTTAGGCAAACGTTCATACATCTTAGATCACTGTCTGCCTCTGTTACAAGCGTCAATTTCAAATTCCGATGAGCAGCTTTAAAATGGTCTACAGAAGACATTCGTACTGCAATGTTTGGCATTAACGGTAGTTTTATCATGTGATCCCGGTGGCTAGCCGCCACAACCCTTCAGATGACGTTTAATATAAAAGACAACCAAAGCACTCCCTCCCCCAATATACAAATGGAATCGATCAGGTTTGAACACAGCCTAAACCAACACCATTTTCTCCCTTTTCCTGTGTATGGTGCTGATGATATTTTTGTGCAACCAGTTCCCAACGAAGGGCTCTAAATAATTCGATGGCATACGCATTTTACGGTAAAATTTGCTTAGCTTGTATTCAGAAAACTGAAAACATTTGTCAGGATTAAAAAGAATAGCACACCCGTTTAAATTTAAGAACTTCCAAGGATACCCGATTTGACACATCACAGTTTGACACAACTAATTTGTAGCGGTTTTCGTGCAACTGGGCGAGGTCTGATTTGTGTCATTGGTTTCAGAGAAGTGGAAAATGTTTCCTGTTTCGCATTCGACTGGTGAAGTCAGCAACATAAACTTCTATACTACTAATGTAAAGGAGAATGGGTAGTGTTGTATACCTAAATAAGTATACCCGTGTCAGTGAAAAACTTGGCTTAATCTAATTGGTCAGTTTTAGTTAGCCGAGTTTGTGACGAGCGTATTCCCTGTTGTGTCGATCAACTCGGTTGAGATCTGTTTTCACAGCTGCGTGCAAATGGATTCATGAATGCTATAAAACTCCCTCCTCACTGATCACTTTTCAATTCGTATGTGACAAAACTTTTGATGGACCCCTTTTTCTAACCACATTCCACTCCCACAGGCCCATAATCAGCTACGCGTTGTGCGCAATTTATCTGGTCGTGTTCTGTCTCAGTTTGCTGTTCACTTCACTTGCACCGATCGGTTTTGTTGAGCGACGCGTGGTAACTACCACCCGGGTGCCAATGCCGAATCTAACCACAACCTATCAGTTGTGCTGGCGCGATCAGACCAATCTATGGGTTGGTCCACGTCCGATTGATCTGATCCGTTTTGGTGCATCCTATGCGCCCTGTATGAGTCCGGATGCAAGATTGGAACAGGCTATATTAAAGCCTCAGCTGCAATGGGATCGCAAGTAAGTTGTACATAGTCCGTTCGGAATAGTTTTACTATGATCATCATGAAGGGCCGTTCTCTAGCATGCTTCAAGACCGAATTCAATAATAACTTTTATGATAATTAGAAAAGGGGAACGAAATCGGTTAACTTATCTCGATATTGCTGATCCTGTCTTTTTCAATTATATTTCAAACTTTTACACTGGATGGATTACCTTTATGGAAAACATCATGAACTATGTCTTTTGGCTAAACCTCGACAGAGGCTATTAACAGTATTTTAGCACTACTTTTCGTTATCTCCTCAAAGTTTCTCTCAGGCTCTTGAGGTTTGGAGTGTCTTCCTCCTTTGTTCTTCTCATCTTGAAGTCCGATTGGTTTTCTACCACATTAGGATCTGTCGTGCAGGTAGATCAAGGCCGAGAGGGTAATCATCAGTGGAGGGTTCAGTCACAACCAATCACAAAGATCACGTGGCATGACAGTGGGACTTTGTGGTATTCATCTTCTCATCAGGGAAAGCCTGAATCCAGTAAAACCACCAGTCAATACGTATCTCTGGTCACTGGCGAAATCCATTGGTGCAGGTCAGACCAAGTCGTGGGATTGGATGAGTAGATACTATTACCGATAGATCAAAACCCCTTGTTGCTGACATTATCCAAATGCTATCCAAAACATGGGAGTATCATCGTTTGTGGGTCAAACGAGATTTGTCACGACTCAGAGCACTACAATTAATTTTAGCAATGCCATTAAAGAGCAGTAAATCCATATTTCGAGATGGGGAGATTTTCTGTCTTTATGTGTGATTCAGCTCTGTCAGTTTTATCTTGCACCATCATAAACTTATCGTTAGAAATACATGACTTGTTTTCGGTTGATTGCTTATAACCCATGGAATACAGTGGGTGGGATTAAGTCAAGACTCCATTTCGGACATTGATGGCAATTGGGGAACATTCATGTCAAAACTCGGTGGTCGACTCACTGCTTACTTGTTTGAGAATTGCGCAAAAAGAGAAAAGCAATTAGGAAAAGAAAGCTTTTCACAACAGAGTGATTTCTGAACAGAAAGGATCGAAACAGAAAGACCACAGTTTAAGATAATCAATTTTTGACAGTGGTTTGTACAGTGGTGTGAAATAGCAGTCGCACGGTCATTGTGTGTGGAATAAACCGAACTGCAGTCAGCCGAGGGAGGAAACTGAGGGGAGAAAAGCAAAACTGGTTGGTTTACTGATGTTTCGATTCAATCATTAAGTACACTGTTATATACCTTTTCTGTGACACTGTACCCATTGCTTCACCTATTTTTTGGGGTGTGGGAGGGGGGGCGGAGTGGAATTCTGATCACAAGAAGAAATTCAACCGCAATAGACGAAATGGTTGTGCGAATAAACAAACTGTATGGAGAGCGGTGTGCATGAAGCAGAATAGCTTCGGTGTTTGTTCTCTTTATGTGTGTGCATTAAGCTGCTCAAATTTATGTGTCTTCTGATTGGAAGGCTTGTTGATCTCTCAGTGTTTTCGCTACTGGAAGACCAAGTGACCAATCGATTTGTATTGTCTTACTTATCCATACGCAAGATAAAAATAGAAGTCAGACTGGACGAAATAGATCGCCAAACGAATTTTCCCGGCACTGTCTTGGATCATTCAATCGAAATACCACTAAGATAATGTAGGCGAAAATTCCATTTAGTTTACTCGTGTGTGACGTTCAAGTGGTCAAATTTCATGACCTGTGCACACACACACATGTGGCAGGTAGTTGAAAGAAGTTGGTTGTCTTTGAAGCTGGAGTTCGTAGTCTGTGCCGATTTGCTCGTTGAACTTGACAATGAGATTGCAAACATATTGTATTGGTATGAATACCAATCTCTGAAAACGGGCTTGTTCGCCATTTTGTTGCAATTCTGTTTGAAAATCCTTACCTCAAGGTGAATTCGCTTACCGTGAGAGTAAGGTTTCCTGCAAACAGACGGATGACAGTCGATTTTCTTCATTGATATTTTTTTTTCAGACAACTACGCAGTTAATTGTTATTTTCAGTTCAACGATATGGATTGGGTTGGATAAGTGTGTAGAATAAGGCGAACCTCAGGGCGGTCCCGGTAAACAAACAATGATTGTATTTCCTTCCACACTTGAACAAGTTACACACAAGCCTTCAGTGTTTCAATGGTGGTAAATAAGGTCAAAAAGGGGAACAAATCGAGCAGGAAAAAAGCATGCACTAACTGCTGATTGCAATAAAAACCCTCTGCTTTCCAGTCATTATCCGGCCCAAATCGGGTGAGTATCAGGAATTTTCTGCAAGTAGACATGCGCGATGGGATGGATATATCTGAATTTGGAGCGGGTGGGAGGATGAAATTCAAGTGTACACAGTTCTATGTATGAAGGATAGGTGTGCTATCAGATAGTATTTCCCCAGCAAATTTGAAGCGTGTAGCAATATAACCGTTGTATATTTTGTTTATCAGATCAGATAAAGATATTTGGAAAACGACTGATTATTGTGTGACCATGCCTTAGCAGTCAACCTTCAGCAGGTCATGAAAGACCACAATCGGCGAGATTTACGGAGCGGTTTAATGCAAACCGCATTGGAGACATTTTTCCAGATTAAGATTAAGACACGATAAAGTGAAATAGGTAACGAAGTCCTATAAGTTCGCGTTGCATGCCACCTAGTTCCGATTGATTAAATATGAAAACAGAGATGGTATTCTTAAATTGTTTTGAAGGGCAATAATAGGTAAGTCACGGGGGTAAGTCGCAAAACGATAGGTTATTAAGACAGCACTTTGAAGTACACCCGGACTATTGAGTGACACTATTGCCCGTCTTCTTCCCAATTTAACACACTGAAATATCTTGGCGAAAAGTAATCACCAAGCCATACAAGAAGAGAAGAGGAACAATCAACCGGCAGCAGCTTGTTACGTAAAAGAGAACGGAGCACCGAGTCAAAAGCTGAAAAATAAACAAGAAATTCAGAGTGTGCATATTTGATATTTTTATTTAGAGACTTGGAGACAAAGCTAACTAGTGAAGAAAGGGCGTCCAGCGTGGAGCGCTTATGTTTATATGCAAACTGATAACTGTCATCGGGTGTGGTAGGAGATAACTGAAGTCGATGTACAACGGACCGCTATATCAATCTGAAACCAGTGGAACTGAGAGCAATTTTCTTGAAACGTCTTGCAATTGGGTCCTGTGTTGTCCCCTTGCGGATGAATATAATTCTCATCATGTGCTGGTACTCATTTTCGCAGTTTCAGCAAAAAAGTAACTGAGTGCAAAAGTGTAAGACAATGGCTGTTTACTAGGTCCAAGAAGTATGGGACCATCTGGAGAGAATGAACATATCAATACATTTCACCACAGCTTATAACCTCAAACGAAAATAGGGTGTTTAAAAACCGGAGTGTATGCCAGATGAGGCATCCATAAATGCTGCATACAGTTGTTCAATATCCATAGAGGAACTGTAAATCATTTTCTTCTGCCTGCAAAGTAGTTTGATTCCACACCAGATAGATTTGCAGTCACTTATTCTATAACCCTGACTTGCATAAAGGGAATCCAAGATTTATATTCCATTCTCGGTCGAAAATGATAGTCGTTGAACTATGGCCCTCCTGTCACATTTAAATGCACGTTCCTTTTCACGAAAAAGGCCTCCAAGTAAAGGTGTTGTTATTCTGCCATGTTGAGGGAAAAAAGTTATAACAGTACAGCACATTTCAAAAACACGGTTTAACACGTCTTTTAGAAAAGTCATATTGGACAATCACGGTGTCTAGAAAAAAACAGTCAGTATCCACTATCAGAAGCCCTCTTAGTAAAACCATTTTGTCTGGGGAAAGGTCTCCCTGACGCAACATGATGTGTTTAGGTCAGATAGAAGAAAAATGTCTTGAGTGTAAATAAATCTTAGGCTTGGTCGGGATCAGGTTGTGATCACTGGTGCCTAAGGGGCAAAAATGTTCGGTAGAAAGTGTCAGCGTGAGTGATAATTGTGTGCCCCCAGAAGAGAGGACCCCCTAATCGGTTCTATAATAAAGTCATCTGGGTTTAAGCAGAATAAAGGGTGCAGAAAGGTATGGTTAAAGTCATAAACTATTGGGTGCACGCTCTCGACAGTAGATAGGAAAATAACCGGTAGGAAATGATCGATATCTGATAACCTACACTAGGGAGCAGTGTATAAATTGGTGATGACAATAAGAGAAAAATGAGAAAATCTGGGGTAACAGACGACAGACAAGCAACCAACGTCATTTCGCTAAATCTTGAAAAATATTTCGGATTTGCCACTTCACTTCGAGTTGATGTAAGTCATCCTATGAGTTACGAATACAGCACCTTTAAACAAATATTGTGTGAAAACAAATTCAGGGAATTCGATTGGTCCACAGTGGGATGTGTAATAGTCACGTGCCTGGGTGGCTCATGAATGAGTTGATCACGTACGGTATAGAACTGACCGATCACAATTCCTGTTGTGTGTGGGTGTGTTTGAATAGGAGATGCGTCAGTCAAACAGTACTGTCAGTATTTAATCTGAAACATCGGGATCTGAATGGCAGGTTCAGTCGACACGAAATTGTGATTGGTCGAGATGGGTCACGTCCCGTTACTTGGATAATCACTTGAAATCTGATACAAATATAAAGTGCACCTACGATTTTGCGTTTAGATGAACTCTTTCAATGTAGAACTCTGGTACTTCGTCTACTCTTTGTGTTTCTGGTCATGTGTTTCACTTCGTTGGAATTTTTTACGCTGTTGGCCAAAAAACTGAGCTCACCATTCCAACGAGATACAATCAAATGACCTGATTTTCGTGAATAGTACACAGTTGGCCTTCACTCATATTCTCGAGCCATATGCACGCAGGTCAGTTGACCTCTATTCACAAATTGGAAGAAATAAGTATGCGGAATCCACATTGTTTCGGTTCCAATTGAATGTGGAAAAGCGGCCAGTTAATAATCATGGTACCATAATGTAAAAAACGGGAATTCCACCGCTTGGATGTCAAAAGCATCGCACAAACTAAAGCTGAAAAGGAAATCAATAAACTGCTATATATCACCATCACTCTGGTACAGATCGGTTTTCTGTGACTAACTGGTGGCTACAACGAAGGATATTTCGACGTCTACTGTGAGATCAATTTGTACCCTCATCAGCCTTGGAAGAGAACCGTACCTTTTCCGGTTCAAAGCGTACACTAAAATGAGCTTTGCAGAGCTGTTTTCTGAAGGCGTAACAGCCGGTAAAACAAATGTGGATGAAAGAATGAGAGACGGACTTCGAGTGGGTGCTGACACGAAAATCAGAGAGACCGTGTAATTGGAAGCGATAAAGCAAGGTTACGGCTTCGGGTGGTAAATGAAGTGTGAGGATTTGAAAATTCTAGGGAAACATGTAGATAAGTGCAATAGGTATACCGATATTGGAAACGGACGATTATCTGTTCAGTCTGATGGAATCAATAGCCTGCGACGGAATCGCAAATATTTGGAAGTAATAAATGAACAGTTGAATCTATTGCTTGCAATGGGAACAAACTCTTTCTTCCGAAACGATAACGCGTGAATCTTATCGCAATGCTCCAAACACGCCAACTGCATGGATGCCTCACCCAATGAAGGTGTACTTATCAATGACAGTGGGTCATGAAAAGCAGTTTCATCGGGTGTCTTACATTCAGTTCACAGTTGTTCAAAATTAGTCTTATTGCACGTCTCCAACCAGCAAAGTTACGCTTCTGTTCTGATTATGCTGCGGAACTAAAACACCCTTCACCATAATCTTCCATTTGTCCCAAAACCACAAACACGATCAACGAAGCGATGAAGTATACCGAAAATGAATGTAGATCAACTGAGTGTCATCCCCAAAAATCAGGTCATATGATTGCATCTTCTTGTACTTGGGGAATTGTCAACACAGTTCTAGGTTATCAGACAGATTTGCATGTGAGTTGTTCCATCAAAATGGGTCTCCGACCTTTTTTACCAGTTGTGTGTGTGTACATGCCCTACAAGTGTGACGCACAAAAAAACCGAACAGAAATTTTTCTAATTGAACCAGGTGGATACAAATCATCGCTCAAATTTCGGTCGTTGATATGTTGCACAAAGTGTGCGACGCACTTTGCTTTATTGCTGTGCATAAACGTTGCACGAAGCAAGAAGTGTTCTCGTTTACGACATTAAACACTCTAACCTAATTAATAGATCTCAGCGCAACAACCCAAGGTTAGTATGAATATTTGTGGCATACTTGAGGCATTTCATGTCTTTTTCTGTTGTCAGTACTCTTCAAATCGCTGATAAGATTGCAGGTGGATAATTTTGCTCTTGAAACTAATCGATTGTCTGCGTTTACATGCGCATGCACAACTAACTTAAAGGGGATGCCTTTCTTTCAAGTTCAGGTTGTTGTATCTTGGCGGATGGTCGGGCTTGTTTCCAGAGTACTCGTGATTCTTGCCCACAGTCGTTTTCTATGTGGCTTCGAGGCAACAATATGGAAGCGCACCGGCACAAGGTATCTGAAAAATCAATTCAGTATAGCACAGCTCAAGAGGAAACAACTGAGCAACAGAATCGCAAAAACGCCGGACCTATTTGTGGACTGGATCCAGAATTCTGTTTACAACCATCTCCTGACGATGAACGGTGGTCCACAGCAGATGTGACGCAGTGGCCGGTGAGTAGAGAATTATAAATACTGCAAGG